AGCTGGGAAGCTGGGAAGCTGGGGGCCATGTGGGCTGCCCCTCCCAGGGCTGAGAGCACACCCTTGGGACCCAGCAGGTCTGGGATCTGGGCCTGGTGGTAGCGCTCTCTGGTGGGTGGACCATGGCATGCTACAGCCCACCCTGAGCATGTCACCTGAAGGAAGATTCTGGGTGGGTGTGTAACCCACTCTGCACACTGAGCTGGATACTGGAGCCACTTTCTCCACAGCCTCAGTGTCCCTGCTGCCGTATGGCCAAGCTGGGCCATTATCCCTTCGGTGTCGGCTCTGTGGCTTAAGGGCAGCTCAGGAAGGGCTGTGCCTCTTTCCTTTTACAAAAATAAATTCATGTGTCTCTGCTGGTGTGGAAGTGACGTGGCCTGGACGTCATTCCCATCCTGCAGGACCTGAGAGTTCTGGGAAGGGGCCCCCAGGAGTCCTGTCGGGGCCTGGAGGGCAGCCCACTGGGCCCTGGGTACCGCCAGGACGTGCCCTTGAGTCAGGCTGTACTCTGCCCCGGCTGCCTGCCCACCTCCTGGAGGACCCTGCAGAGGAGACCTAGCAGACCCACAAGGCAGGACCAGGCCTGGGGGTCATGGCGGTGGGGCCAAGAGGCCTCTGTAGAATGTTCCAGAGTATGTCTGGATTTCCTCCTAGTTAGGAGCTGCCTGTGTCTGGGCTCAGGCAGGGCTGCCCCAGGGTAGTCTCCCCCTCTGCAAGATGGGCCCTCTATACAGGGCCCTACTGGAAGAGAAATGGCTGCCCGGCCCTGGTAGCACCTGGCTGGTCTGGCCTGGGGGCCCTGCAGGGCCTTCCTCTTCCCGGCGCCTGTTCTCGGGGCCCAGCTCAGGGGTAAGTCCCAGAATAGCTCAGGGAGGAGTGACGGGACAGCTGGGGCCAACCGTCTGCTGCCAGTGGCCGGGAATGCCCATGACAGTGGGGCTGGCTGGTGGGGCTGTAACCCTTGCCTGGCTCTGGGCTGCTCCAGTTCAAAGGCCTGAGGCCGCTGGCTCTGGGTGTGGCCCACATGAGTCTGCAGCTACTTCTCTACTTGAAGCTTACTGGCTTCATGCTCTCCACCCTCCTCCAGGTGCAGCTATGGCTGGCAGGGGAGGTTCTGTGACGAGTGTGTCCCATATCCCGGCTGTGTGCACGGCAGCTGTGTGGAGCCCTGGCAGTGCAACTGTGAGACTAACTGGGGTGGCCTGCTGTGTGACAAAGGTAGCTCGGAGTGGCGGGCAGAGACTGGGCCTGAAGCTCAGCCATCAGAGGGAAGGTGGAGTGGGGGTGGGCCAGTTCCCTGAGCTCTGCTACTGCCACCAGACCTGAACTACTGTGGCAGCCACCACCCTTGCACCAATGGGGGCACGTGCATCAACGCTGAGCCTGACCAGTACCACTGTGCCTGCCCAGATGGCTACTCGGGCAGGAACTGCGAGCGGGGTATGTAGGGGCCACCCTGGGCTGCTAGGGGTTGGGGGCCCTGTCTCTGGTCTCCCTGTGCTGTGGGCAGCCTCTTCCTCAAGCCCCGGGGCTGGTGGGCTTGGGGAGGACCACTTGTGGAAAGGTGTGGACCTGCCCACTGCCTACCCCTTGCTCTGGTTTTATAGCCGAGCACGCCTGTGCCTCTAACCCGTGTGCCAACGGGGGATCTTGCCATGAGGTGCCGTCCGGGTTTGAATGCCACTGCCCGTCTGGCTGGAGTGGGCCCACCTGTGCACTTGGTGAGTGCCCCTGCATATACCTGGGCTTGGGGGGGGGTCAGTGCACACACATAGCTGTGGATATCATGACTAGGGGACGGGGGCATGAAGCCCAGCCACGCAGTCCTGCCTCCCTGTGTGGACCACATGGCCACCTCTCTCCCTTGCTCTGCAGACATTGACGAGTGTGCCTCGAACCCCTGTGCGGCTGGTGGCACCTGTGTGGACCAGGTGGATGGCTTTGAGTGTATCTGCCCGGAGCAGTGGGTGGGGGCCACCTGCCAGCTGGGTAAGGGTCCCCCAGGCCACATGTATTGCATGGGCTGTGTGCTGCGTGTGGGTGGCTGCTGCTGGGGCTGCTGGGGCTGCTGGGCTGCGGGTGCCAGGCACAAGGTGAGCAGGCAGCGGGGCCTGAGCCCCACGCACCCTTGTCTTGTCCACAGACGCCAATGAGTGTGAAGGGAGGCCGTGCCTTAACGCTTTTTCTTGCAAAAACCTGATTGGCGGCTATTACTGTGATTGCCTCCCGGGCTGGAAGGGCGCCAACTGCCACATCAGTCAGTACGGGTGGGCGGGCCGCAGGCGGGCAGGGCTGGGTGAGCCCAGGACCCCACCCTTGACCCACTCCTCTGCCCCCAGACATCAACGACTGTCATGGGCAGTGTCAGCACGGCGGCACCTGTAAGGTGAGATGAGGCCCAGGAGGAGGGCGTGGGGACCCAAGAGGCCATGGGGACCTCTGCATGGGACTCACCCTGCCCTCCTGTCCAGGACTTGGTGAACGGGTACCAGTGTGTGTGCTCACGAGGCTTTGGAGGTCGACACTGCGAACGGGAGCTAGATGAGTGTGCCAGCAGCCCCTGCCACAGCGGTGGCCTCTGTGAGGACCTTGCTGGCGGCTTCCGCTGTCACTGTCCCAAGGGATTCTCTGGACGGCTCTGTGAGGTGCGGCCTGTGGTCTGGCTGCCCTGCCCCAACCCACTGCCTCGGGAACTGTGAGGGCAGGCCTTCATCCCCTGCCCACAACAGGGGATGACCAGGAGATACTACGGGGGAGTTGTCCCCAGAGTCCTAGATATCTGGCTGGGCAGGCCTGAAGGTCAGCAGCCTCCTGGGGACTGGGCTGAGCCCTTCAGTTCTCTGGCTGCCTAGATGCTGGCTGTTCACACCCCTGGAGACTGGGGGCCAGGTGGCTCTGAGGGGCAGAGTATACGGGACATCCGAAAGAGGGCTGCAGGGCAGGGCTTAGGTGCCTGCTCTGTGGGGCCCAGGTAGGAGCAGGGTCTCCCGTGGTGGATAGCCCTACCTCCCTGTCCTTTGTACTCAGGGTGGGGGGTTCTCCTACCTAACAGGCCTCTTGGGGCCTATGGCAGGGTTCTGGTTTTGGGTCCAGGCAGCATGGCCATGGCTGACTCTGAGGGTAGCCTGCCCGTATGCGGGGCTCAGGAACTGGCCTTCCTGCTAGCAGGGGCACTGAGGCCAGATGTCATCCACAAGAGGTGGGGAAAGTTTGCTCTTGTGAAGGTGAGGGCAGGTGGCTGGCTTGGCGGCCTGCAGGTGTTTCTGTCCAGTTGACAGGGCCTGCACAGTCTCAGCGAGCAGGGGCTTCGGGCCCTGGCTCACATTGCCTGGCCCAGGGTGAGAGGCAGGTGTCAGGATGAACAGGAGACCAGCCTTGGGGTTCCCAGGGACCTGTCTTCATGTGGACCTAGAGGCCTGGCCTGTGTCTCTGTCCCTGCCTGGCCTCTCAGAGTCACCCTTGCCCTGCAGGTTGATGTGGACTTGTGTGAACCAAGCCCCTGCCGGAACGGTGCACGCTGCTACACCCTGGAGGGTGACTACTATTGCGCCTGCCCGGATGGCTTTGGCGGCAAGAACTGCTCTGTGCCCAGGAAGCTGTGCCCAGGCGGGGCCTGCAGAGGTGTGGGGTGCAGCCAGGGGGTGGACCAGATGGCCTGGGTGGGGCGGCCCTGACTCCTGCTGCTGTCTGTCATAGTGATCGACGGCTGTGGGTCTGAGGCAGGGCCCAGGGTGCCGGGCATGTCGCCCTCCGGAGTGTGTGGCCCCCACGGGCACTGCGTCAGCCAGCCCGGGGGCAACTTCTCCTGCATCTGTGACAGCGGCTTTACTGGCACCTACTGTCATGAGAGTGAGTGGCTGGGGAGGGGAGTGGGCGGGGTTTGCACCAGCCTGGGGATCCCGGCTCACACCCTCGCCCCACAGACATCGACGACTGTCTGGGCCAGCCCTGCCACAACGGGGGCACATGCATCGACGGGGTGGGCGCCTTCCGCTGCTTCTGCCCCAGCGGCTGGGAGGGCGAGCTCTGCGACACCAGTGAGTGTACTGGCACCTGTCCCCATGAGTCCCACTGACCCGAACCACCCCCAACTCATGTGCCCCAAGCCCCTCCAAGGTGGGGCAAACCCCAGCCTCCCACCCGTGCCTGGGGCCTGGTTGGTACCACCTGGGGCTCCTTTCCCATCCCCCCTCCATGGCCCAGCTCTGGTGCCTCCTTCCCAGAAGGCCCTCCTTGAGCGCCGGTGACCCCCTGCTGACCGGCGTCCTCACCCCCAGATCCCAACGACTGCCTTCCTGATCCCTGCCACAGCCGCGGCCGCTGCTACGACCTGGTCAATGACTTCTACTGTGCGTGTGATGATGGCTGGAAGGGCAAGACATGCCACTCACGTGAGTGCCCATGGGCCCCTGCCGCAGGGGGCTGCCCACCAGGACCCTGCCCCCACCCCCACCCCCTGGTCTGGGGCCTGCCTGCTGAGCACCGTGTGTATCTGCAGGCGAGTTCCAGTGTGACGCCTATACCTGCAGCAATGGCGGTACCTGTTACGACAGTGGCGACACCTTCCGCTGCGCCTGCCCCCCAGGCTGGAAGGGCAGCACCTGCACTGTGGGTGAGCAGCCCGCACCCACCCCTAGGGTCGGCCCCTCTGGTAGCCACACCCTGCCCTGGGTCTGTGGGCTGGGGCTTTCGTGCAGGGACTTCCTGCCCATGCTTTTGGTCTGTCTGCCCCGTCTGGTTGGGGTGTGGTGTGGACCCCCAGCCTCAGCCAGATGAGCAGCCCCTCCTTCTCCTACCATGCAGCCAAGAATAGCAGCTGCCTGCCCAACCCCTGTGTGAACGGGGGTACCTGCGTGGGCAGCGGAGACTCCTTCTCCTGCATTTGCCGGGATGGCTGGGAGGGCCGCACCTGCACTCACAGTGAGCCTCAGGGGCTGCAGGGTGGGGGTCATTTCACCTGGCTTCCCAGCCCTGAACCCAACTGTGCTCCATCTACCTAAGTCCATGTGAAGCCCCAGAACCAAGGGAAGGCTGCCTCCTGGCCCTCCCTGCTCACGGCAGACCCTCCCCAGTCTCCAGCCTCCACCATGACCACTAAGTGTCTGGCTCCCACTGAGGTGCAGTCCCTACTCCCAACTGCAGGTGCCCCCTGTACCTTCCTTGGTGGCCCTGCCCAAAACCTCCCCGCCCCTCCCCACCCCTCAGCCTGGCCAGACCATGCAGGTCTACCCACCCGTGAGTCTGGGTCCCAGGCCTGGCATAGGGGCTGGCAGGTGGCTGCTGTGCCCACCGCCTTCCTTCTCTCTCACATCCAGACACCAACGACTGCAACCCTCTGCCTTGGTGAGTGACCGGGTCAGCAACACGGTGGGGCTGCTGTGGGTAGGGGCTGACAGACGCCTCTGAAGCCCACATTCTTCTCCCCCACCCCCCACAGTTACAATGGTGGCATCTGTGTTGATGGTGTCAACTGGTTCCGTTGTGAGTGTGCGCCTGGCTTTGCGGGTCCAGACTGCCGCATCAGTGAGTGGCCTGTGGCATCTGGGAGGGCATCTGGGAGCCTCTCCAGCCCAGCCCTGGGGTCAGGAGTTGAGGGGCGTCACTGTTCACTGGCCCATGGCCAGGCAGCACAGTCCCATCTTCCAGCCTCTCTTCTGAGCCTCTTCTTGGGTCTCTGCTTCTGTGCCTGTTGGGCTCCTGAGTGTACCCTTCCCCTGCGAAGTGGGGGTGCTGCCCTGAGGGACCAGTCTAGGGCCAAGGGAGGAGGAGGATGGGGGCTATTGGCTGGTGTGTGGAGCCTGACAGGGGTCCTTCTGGGGCTGCAGGGCTGTGGCCCAGTGTCCCTCATCTCACGGCTTGTCACAGAGTGGATGGGGAAGGCAGTGACCAGGGTGGGCACCAGGCAGGTCTCCAGCTAGGTGGTCAGTGGCTACAGGAGCCCATGGGACCCTAAGCTGGCCAAGGCTGTCTCTCCTGGCCAGCCTGTGCTCCAGGTGCACCCGGTCCTGCCTGCCCCATGCCCACTCCTGCCATGTGTGGGGGCTGGGCTGGCCTCCCGCTACTGAGCCAGACCCACTCCCCACAGACATTGATGAGTGCCAGTCCTCGCCCTGTGCCTATGGGGCCACATGTGTGGACGAGATCAATGGCTATCGCTGTAGCTGCCCACCTGGCCGGGCCGGCCCTCGGTGCCAGGAAGGTAGGCTGGTGTGACTGCTGTAGGTGAGGCTGTGCTGAGCAGGGCCACTCCCCTCTGACCCTCAGGCCTCTGCTTCCCACAGTGATTGGGTTTGGAAGGTCCTGCTGGTCCCGGGGTGCCCCATTCCCGCATGGGAGCTCATGGGTGGAAGATTGCAATAGCTGCCACTGCCTGGACGGCCGCAGGGACTGCAGCAAGGTAAGGGCACCTGCTAGCCCCTGGCCCCTGACCCTGCAGTCAGTGTGTGCTGGGGTCGGGATGGGTGGGGAGCTGTGTCCACTCATTTCTGAGGGACATGTTGGCAGGAGGAGAGTAACTGGGCCCACTCTTGTGCGACTGGTGAAACCGAGGCACAGCCTAGGTCCCACCCAGCTCCGCCTGCTCCTGTGTTACTTTGGGCTGCCTCCCTGGATCCCTGGGCAGCAGGCGCATAGGGCTTGGAGCTCACTGACCCCATTGGCCTATCTGTCTTCCTGCGTGCTGCCTGCACTATCTCTCCCGTATGTACATGCTCAGGTGTGGTGTGGATGGGAGCCCTGCCTGCTGGCCGGCCAGCCCGATGCCCTGAGTGCCCAGTGCCCACCGGGGCAGAGGTGCCAGGAGAAGACCCAGGGCCAGTGTCTGCAGCCACCCTGTGAAGCCTGGGGGGAGTGTGGCCCTGAGGAGCCTCTGCCGCCTAGCACACCCTGCCTGCCGCGCTCTGGCCACCTGGACAACAACTGTGCGCGCCTCACACTGCACTTCAACCGAGACCAAGTGCCTCAGGTGAGTAGCAGCAGCAGAGGGGACGCTGCCTTTGTTTATTTTTTTGCAACAGTCTCACTTTGTTGCCCTTGGTATAGTGCCGTGGTGTCATAGCTCACAGCAACCTCAAACTCTTGGGCTTAAGGGATCCTCTTGCCTCAGCCTCCTGAGTAGCTGAGACTACAGGTGCCCCTCACAACCTCTGGCTGTTTTTTTGAGACAAGGTCTCGCTATTGATCTGGTTGGTCTCGAATCTGTGAGCTCAGGCAGTCTACCCACGTTGGCCTCCCAAGTACTGGGATTATAGGTGTGAGTTACTGCTCCCGGCCTGCTGCCTTTGTTTCTTGGTGACCTTCTTGGCTGTGGCTCAGCCTTGGGGGGCCATGGCTAACCAAGAAGGGTTGCTCTGGGCTGGGGAGAGTGACCATGTTGGATCAGACGAGAGGGCTTCTCAGGCCACATGTGCTAGGTGGGCTGGCAGAAGGCAGGGATGCCTGTCTGTGGCTCCTGCCTTGGGCCTAGGCCTGTGGCTCTGCAGGCAGATCTGCCCTGGCCAAGGCCCTACCCTTGTCCTCTGGGTGCCTGGAGCAGGTGGGACTCATCCCTGTGGTGCAGGGGCTTGGAACCAGGCACTGTTGCCTGCCCCTTCCCTCCAGTTTGCAGGTGGAGCCACTCCTGCCACGAGGACAGGGAGGGGGACTGTCACCCTGTCCTGGCTCTGGTCTGTGTCCTTGGGTGGGCGCAGGCTTGGGGGCCCCAGGTGGGCCAGGAGGGCATCCTACAGCCTAGCCTCAGGGGCCCAGTGAAGTTCTCTGCCCAGGGCACCACCGTGGGCGCCATCTGCTCTGGGATCCGCTCCCTGCCAGCCACAAGGGCTGTGGCCCGGGACCGCCTTCTTGTGCTGCTCTGTGACCGTGCATCCTCGGGAGCCAGCGCTGTGGAGGTGGCCGTGGTAAGTATGGGTTGGGGTGGGCAGCCTGTCACCCTGCTCTGCTGAGGCCCTGGGGAGTGACCCAGTGGTCACTGACTATCTGTGGGTACCTTTGTCAGGGCAGGAAGCAGAAGTGTGCCCTCAGGTTCTGTTCTGTCTGCTCATTTAAGGGAAAGGGCCAGAGCAGGTCGGGGAGCCCAGGAGGAGGGCTGTGGGGAGCATGGTGTTGGGGGTTGGCTGGGTAGGGTGCTGTGGAAGCAGGTCCAGGAAGAGCCAGGCTCAGGCTGCAGACTCCCTGGGGTTACAGTGATTGCCAGCAGGTGCTAACTTTCAGGGGCACTGTGGACCCTTGCTCAGCTCCTCTTCCCTCCGTGTCTGAAGCCGTGGAGGACAGGGCTCTGGGCAGGCCAGGTACTACGAGTTAGGGCAGAGGCAGCTCCTGGGAGAGGAGAGGCGCAGCTGGGCTGGGCCAGGTGGGTGGTGACAGAGTGCAGTTGGAGGGTCCCTGGGTGGGGGGAGGGACGATGAGACCCCTGGGGCTGTGCCTGGGGTGGAGCTGTGAACCCTTGGCCCTGTCGGGGACCTGGACTCAGGCAGTGGGGCTGCTATCAAGGGGTGGGTGCATTGGGCCCCCGGACCAGGCCAGCAGCAGGGCTTTTGGTGGCAGAGCCCAGCCTTCTGTGTCCCTAGTGGCAGTAGGTCTGGGTCGTCAGGCCAGTAGGTATCCTATGGGCAGCCCAGGCCCTGCATGGACTCTGGGAGTATCCCATGTGAACAGATGACTCTGGGCTGGCTGGGCCTGGGATGTCTGGGGAGACTGGGGAGGGAATATTCTGGAGAATGTCTTGAGTTGGCTTGAGAAGGGCGCCCCAGGCAGGGGGTCAGGTGACAGTGGGCACAGAGCAGCAGGGTAGTTATAGCATTATAGCATGTATGGCAGGAGCAGTGGTGGCACTGAGGCCGTGGCAGGGGTCAGGGCATCGGTGGCTCTCAGTGGTGGGGCAGCCATAGGGGACAGAAAAGGGAGAAGAGCATCAGTGGGGGTCACAGTGCCATCCCCTCAGGGCCATGCAGGTGCCCTGGGGTGGTGTTGGGTGGCAGTGCCTTGGGGCTGGGGGTGACCGCAGAGCAGTAGATAGGGCAGGGCCAGGAACCTGGAGCTGCCCATTGGAGAGGGCCCCAGGACCCTCCTCCTCCGATGAAGCCGTGGCTCCCTTGGACTGGGCCCCAGCTCTGTCCTCTGCCGCAGTCCTTCAGCCCAGTGCCAGACCTGCCCGACAGCAGCCTGATCCAGGATGCGGCCCACGCCATTGTGGCTGCCATCACCCAGCGGGGAAACAGCTCGTTACTCCTAGCAGTCACTGAGGTCAAGGTGGAGACGGTCGTTCTGGGCAGCTCTTCTTCAGGTGTGTGGGTTTAGGGTTGCAGATGCTGATTATGCTACCTGGGAAACAGCAGACCTGGTCCTGCCCCTGGGCCTCCTTCATAGCACTCACCCCCAGACCCACCATCTCAGCCCTATCCTGGGACCCCTTCCACAAGCCAGGAATCAAAAGGGTGTGGCCTGGCCACCTGGCCCTCAGCGTATCCCTGGGACTGTGTGTGTGGCTGATGCCAAGGTGACCTCACTGGCTCCTGCCCCCCAGGTCTGCTGGTGCCCGTGCTGTGTGGCACCTTCAGTGTGCTGTGGCTGACGTGTGTGGCCATTTGCGTGTGGTGGACCCGCAAGCGCAGGAAAGCACGGGAGCGGAGCCGGCTGCCACGGGAGGAAAGCGCCAACAACCAGTGGGCTCCGCTCAACCCCATCCGCAACCCCATAGAGCGGCCGGGGGGCCCGGGCAGTGCTGGGAGCCACAAGGATGTGCTCTACCAGTGCAAGGACTTCACACCTCCTCCTCGCAGGGCAGACGAGGCCCTCCCCGGGCCAGCAGGCCACCCTGGTGGCAGGGGGGATGAGGAGGACGAGGATCTGGGGCACAGTGAGGGGGACTCCCTGGAGGCAGAGAAATTCCTCCCACACAAGTTCACCAAAGACCCTGGTTACTCGCCAGGGAGGCCAGTGCACTGGGTCTCGGTCCCCAAAGTGGACAACCGCGCAGTCAGGAGCGTCCATGACACGTGCTACGCCAGCAAGGAATAGGACTCGGGAGCCCTCGCCGGGCACCACACACCTGCTGGACCTGGAGGCTGCGGCCGTGTGCATAGTTTCTTTATTTTGTGTAAAAAACACCAAAAACAAAAAAATGTTTATTTTCTACATTTCTTTAACCTTGTATAAATTATTCAATAACTGTCAGGCGGAAAACAAAGGAGTATTCTTGGATAGTCGCTATTTTTGTAAAGTTTTCGTGCATCGCACTTATGTGGCAGGAAAGAGCAAAGGGTGTCTGTGTTCTCACCAAATTGTATGTTTGTTACCAGAGGTCGTGCACTGTTTACAGAATCTTCCTTTTTATTCCTCACTTGGGTTTCTCTATGGCTCCAGGCCAAAGAGCTGGTGAGACCCGTGGCTGATGGCGTGGCCTGAGGCTGTCAGTGGGACCCGTGGCTGTAGGTGGGACCTGAGGTGGCCAGCCTAACCTGGTTACTGATGTGGCCATGGTCGCCGGCGTGGGCCATGGCTGTTGGCAGCTTCTGTGCTTGTCAGTGGGGCTTGAGGTCTTTGGCATGGCCTGAGCATCGCTCTCTCTGGCCAGTCCCGTGCAGCCTACTGTCCTCGCTCCCGCCCAGAGTGCCCGCTCCCAAGATCTGTCCACTGTGCTTTCAGAAGTGCCCTTCCCGACTGCGCAGTTCTCCCCTCCCGGGACGGCGGCAGTATTGAAGCTCGTGACAAGTGCCTTCACTCAGACTCTTCCCCGCAACTGTCAGCACTCACTGTGGGCATCAGTGCTGCCCACCTGCGGGTCCCGGCCACCCTCCTCATGAAAGTGCATTTTTATAAATATGTACATATTAAATGAATCACTCTGTATATTTGATTTAATAACTTAAACGTTTTTGGCCTCCCTTGTTCTTTGGGTGCTGTTCCTTTTTTATTTGGAGCTGGCTCCAGGGTAGAGCTGTACAGAGAAGGCTGTGGGCAGGTGGGGCATGCCCAGGGTGTTGGTGCGTGGCCATGGCAGCCATGAGGGGAGGTGGCCCTGCTGAGCCAGGACCCTGCGGGTGTCCCCAGCTGGTGGGGTCCTTCCTGGGAACGGGCAGGCAAGGGGAGTGTGGGTGCCTGCACCCAGCCCCTATGAGAGAGAACCAGCTAGAAGAGGCTTTAAGAAATAGTTTAGAATTTCTTATCGACAAAGGGCTGTGGAGTCTGTGAGGAATCAGCTGGTCGGCATCTGGGAGCAGGGAAATGGGAGGAAGCAAGCAGCCTGTCTTCTCACTGACTGAGCAAACTGGAGCTGGGTTTAGTGGCCTGAGAGCCAGGCATTGCTGCCCCCAGTCCTGTGAATGCAGGGGTCCACTAAGTGAGGAGCAAAGCCAAGAACCAAATCCGTGGGAAAAAAGGAAGCCTTTCTGGAAATGAGGTCTGTTTGTATACTTTGCTGGCTAAACTGACCTGCTGGCCACTGCAGCGGTCACTCTGGGCATCTGCCCTGTGGCTGCATCTGAGGTGACACTGTGAGTGCTGCTACCTCACCAGCAGGCTCCCCAGCTCTCACTTGGCTCCTCCCATCAGCTCTTAACACTGGGAGGCCAAAGGCATGTGTCCTCAAGCCAGGGGCAGGGGAATTAAGCTTTCCTGCCTTGTCCTTCCTCCTGACTTGTCCAAGAGGTTGGCCAATGAGTTCAGAGGAAATTCTGCTTTTGAGGAGTCCTGGGACACACCATGACTCGTATGGGCACAAACCCACATTCCCATCACCAGGTTGGCCACAAAAACCCCAGGCTTTTAGTTCCCTTTTAAATGGTATTTATCTAACTTGTGCCCCTTTGCAAACTGCCTTTGTGTCAGACCCCCATACACCCTATGAGTGATTTTTCAAGGTCACTGAGCAGACCACTGTCAGACAAAGCATGCACATGGGGAGACTTGGCCCTGTAGCCATGAGCCGTGAGACACAGGTACACTGGGATTCCTGGACATGGGTTAGAAAACAACGTTTACTTGCTGTGCTAAAAGAAGATAAGCTTGGTGGCCAGGTGTGGTGGCTCATGCCTGTAATCCTAGCACTCTGGGAGGCTGAGGCAGGTGGATAGCTTGAGCTTATGAGTTTGAGACCAGCCTGAGCAAAAAGTGAGACCCCATCTCTACTAAAAACAGAAAAAACTAAGGCAAGAGGATCGCTTGAATCCAAGAGTTGGAGGTGGTTATGAGTTATGATGCCATTCCACTCTATCCAGGGCAACAGCTTGAGAGCTGCTTGAGATTCTTTTTTTTTTTTTAATTGTTAGGGATTCATTGAGGGTACAAGAAACTAGATTACACTGAGTGCATTTGTTAGGTAAAGTCCCTCTTACAATTGTGTCTTGCCCCCAAAATGTGTGTCACACACCAAGACTCCCCCCCTTCCCTCTCTCTACTCTTTCTTTCCCCTACTCCCTCCTTCTTTCTCTCTCTGAAGAGCTTGAGACTCTTAAAAAAAAAAAAAAGGAAGAAAAGGAAGAAGATAGGCTTAGTAATGCTGACAGGTCAAACAGAAACGTTTTTCTTTGTTCATTTTTGTTTTTTGAGGCAGAGTCTCACTTTGTCACCCTCAGTAGAGTGCTATGGCATCACAGCTCACAGCAACTTCAAACTCTTGGGCTCAAACAATTTTCTTGCCTCAGCCTCCCAAGTAGCTGGGACTACTGGTGCCTGCCACAACGCTGAGCTATTTTTAGAGATGGGGTCTCACTCTTGGTCAGGCTGGTCTCGAACCTGTGAGCTCAGACAATCGACCCACCTCGGCCTCCCAGAGTGCTGGGATTACAGGCGTGAGCCACCACGCCCGGCTTCAAGCAGAAACCTTAACCCAGTAGACTTGAAAAAGCACAAAGCTGAACTAGGAAAGAGAAACTACAATCTCAACCTGAAAACTCAAGCAATTTAGCAGCCACATAGACACTGCTGAAGAGAGACTTGGTAAACTGGAAGATAGGTCAGAAGAAACGAACCCAGGGTGCAACCCTAAATGGTAAAAGATGGAAAATAGCGTCTGCAATTACATGAGGGGCCCATGCCAGATGGTCCTTGCAGTGGCAGGTGGGCTGGGCTGCTCTAGCCACTTTTGCAGAGGTGCCCCGTGGGTCTGCACCCGCTGGGCCCAGCCACCACCACCTCAGATCCAGAAAAATCCCCTGTAATCTCCAGGGAACTAGACTGGCCTCTGTGTGCAGAGTGTGCATGGGAGAGCTGAGGTCTCCACAGTGGCCTGCATGTGTGTACACGTGTGTAGACCTGCCCATACGTGTGTATGTGTGTGTGTGTGTTGTCCAGCATCCTGAGCCCACCTCTGGCTCTTCCTGGCCTGGTCAGGTGACCTTGTGCCCTGCTAGGGTAGGGACAGGACTATCTACACATACCACTGCTAGCTCCTGTTGATGGCCACATGGAAGAGGTGCAGGGACTGGCATGTCCACTCTCAACTGTAACCCCAGGGGAAGATGAGGCTTGTCTCCATCTCTGGTGCCACCACCCTGCCCTGGAGTGGTCATAAGGACCCACAGGGACTGGGACCCAGCACCCTGAAGCAGCCACCTCCACACCATAGAGCACAAGCACCCACCAGCTTAGTCCTGCCACACTGAGGCTAGAGGCCAGGGACCCAAGGCCACACCAACCCTGAAAAAGCCTCATTCCCTCCTGGGTGGCTGGGTGGGTCTTTACCACCCCTAGAGAGGGTTGCTTGGTCCAGCCTAGGAACACGCACTCACCAGCACCCTGGATGGCTGCTGCCCACGGCCCCACTGAGGTTGGTGCTGGGCTCCTAGGGCTGTGGGCAGCCCCCACACTGACCACTGAGCTGGGCCCTGGGCTACTCCTGTTTGCCCTCTGAGGCTGGCTGGCCAGGTTCCCACCATAGGCATACCCTGAGCACCACATTCCTGGGGCCTGCTGTGTCCTGCATCAGCCTGGAGCCCTGGGACCCTGGACTCAGCATGTCTCCCCACTGCCTCTGCTGTCTGCCCCATCTCTTGTTTCTCCTGGGGGATAGGGATGGGGGCTCTGGCCTGTGGGCTGGTGGGGAGAGCTCCACTGTCACTGGGGCACATGTTACCAGAGCAGAGCCTGTCCTACCCAGGGTCTGGTGGGTGGGGGCATTTGGGGGCACAAGGCTTAGGCGTGGAGCCAGCTGAGCTGGCCAGTGTGCTCCTGGCTCTGAGACCTGCTCCCAGCTGGGGGTTGGGGTGCCAAGTGGAACCACTAGGGTCTCTATGTCCCCTTGCTTGTGATCCAAATGCTGTGCAAGAGAGAAGGTTGGGTCAGGGCAACTGCAGGGGTCTTTAGGTGCACCCAGGGCCCACAGCAGAGACACAGGTGCAGAGGGAACTGTGGGGTTGCCCCCAGACACCAGGGTGGGCACAACAGCATAAAGACTGAGGCATAAAGACTGAGGCAGCCCTACACAGTGGGTGCTCACTCCATGGGCAGAAGATGTGGACGGCCCCACCACTATCTCATTGCTGTGGTTCAGGGGTGTGATTTGGGCACTGCGGCTGGGCAGGTCACGGTGCACACCTGAAAATGCCATCTCCTCTGTGTTGGAGCCCAGTCGCCCTCTGCCACCTTTTCTCAGCCCTGCAGATAAGGCAGCAACAGAACCCTACCCAGCCTGGACCAGGGCGCATATAACAACTGAGCAGCCTTATCCAGCCAGGACCCACCCAGCAGGTGGCCACTGTGGACAGCAGCAGCTCAGAGGCCAGGAAGCTGCATCGCCTGCCCGCTCCTGGCTACCTGGCTGCTTCTGTGGCACTTGGCTCCAGGGACCTTGCCAGCTGGTTCTGCTTGGAGACAGCTCTGACTGCTGTGTCTCCGAAGAAACCGGGCCCTGGGGAGCAGACAGGAGGTGCCAGGCAGGAGGCCGGGCCCCCGGCTGGCTGGCCCATTAACCCCTGCAAGCCGGGTGGCAGGCAGGTAATGTTGGCCTCACAGTAGCTACAGGCTTGACTCCAGCTGTCCTAAGACCATCTGGCTCACCCCTCATCAGACCCAGGACTTCCAGGGTTGGAGACCTGGAAGGGTCTTCCAGTGAGAGTACTG